GCTTGCTTTTTCCAGGGACAGGTCCCTCCTGATAACATAACCAAAGTATGGGAGATGACGTCTCATCATACTCACTTCCAAGGAGCAATCTGGCTGTACTTCCAACAAAGATTTGTTTGCTTGGCAGTCCATTGTACTTTCAATATTTTCAGTCAACAATTCAAATGCATTGATTCTTCTATGGTCTTCCTTATTCACTGTTCAGTTTTCACGTGCATATGAAGTGACTGAAAATACCATGGCTTGGGTCAGGTACATTTTAGTTCCCAAAGAATATCTATGTTCTTTAGCACTTTTGTAGCAGATTTGTCCAATGTAATATGTAATTTGATTTCTTCCCTACTGCTTCCTTAGGTTTTGATTGTTGTTGTTGTTGTTAAGTGCCATCGAGTCAGTTCCAACCCATAGCAACCCTCTAGAGGGTTTCCAAGGAGCGGCTGGTGAGCTTGCACCACCAACCTTGCAGTTCAAACTGACTGTGCAATCTAGCGCATTAACCCACAGGGCCACACCAGGTTTTCATTGTGGATCCAAGTAAAATGATATTGTGAACAACTTCAATACTTTCTCCATTTATCACGATCTTATTTAATGGTCCAGTTGTATTTTCTTTCTCTCTTTTTTTAATTGAAGTGCAACCCACACTGAATGCTGAATTCTTTGATCTTCATCATTAAGTACTTCAAGTTCTCTTCATTTCCCACAAGCAAGGCTATGTCATCTGCAAACCACAGGTTGTTCATGAATCTTCCTCCAGTCCTGATGACAAGTTCCTTATGTAATCCAGCTTCTCAGATATTTGCCCAGTTTACAGATTGAAGAAGTATAGTGAAAGGATACAACCCTGACACACATTTTTCTGGATCTAAATCATTCAGTATCCTAATGACTGCCTCCTGGTCTATGTACAGCTTCTCCCTTAGCATAATTAAGTATTCTGGAATTCCTGTTTGTTCTGATTCATATGGTTGACTGCCTTTGCATGACCAATGAAACACCAGTAAACATCTTTCTGTTATTCTCTGCTGTCAATCAACTCCCAACTGACGTCAGAAATTATTTCCCTTGAGCCACATCTTCATCTGAATCAGGCATGAATTTCTGACAGCTCCCTATCGATGTACTGCTGTAACCATTTTAAAAATTCAGCAAAATTTTACTTGCATATAATATTAATGATTTTGTTCAATGCTTTCTTCATTCTGTTGGGTCGCTTTTATTTGAAATGGGCATAAATAGGGATCTCTTCCATTCAATTGGTCAGGTAACTGTCTTCCAAGTGTCTTGGCATAGACAAGTGAGCACCTCTAGCAACACATATGTTTGTTGAAATACTTCAATTTGTATTCCACCAATTTCCAGACTCACCTTTTTCACCAAAGGGCACCTTGAACTTCTTTCTTCAGTACCATTGGTTCTCCCTGAAGAACATCATGCTAAATCAAATATTGTAAGAGATTACTACTGTAAAAATCCAAGGAAAGGGTTTAATGCTAAAAGAAACACTCTATCTTGGTTACCAAGGGTTGAAGAGAAGGAAGAATTATTAACTGGCTAGAAGGTAATCAAGTGTTAACTTGGGTGGCAAGGAAGGCAGTTAAAAAAATAAAGAAGGAAAAAAAATACAAAACTATTGGTTCTTGGTCATATGCAACCTCCTTAAATTGTTGAACATCAATCAATTCCTTTTGGTACAATGACAGTGTATTTCTTCCATCTTCTTTTGATGTTTCCTATGTCATTCAATAGTTTGTCCATATAATATACCTTCAATATTGCAACACAAGGCTTGAACTTTTTCTTCAATTCTTTCAGTTTGTGAATGCATATTTTCCCCCTTTGGTTTTTTGATCCCAGGTCTTGCAAACCTCATTATAATACTTGACTTTGTCTTCTCAAACTTCCCTTTGAATTTTTCTGTTCGGTTATTTGACCTCCTCATTTCTTCCAGTTGCTTTAGCATCTTTATTCTTAAGAGCAAGTTTAAGTTTCCTCTGACATTCACTTTGGTGTTTTTTAAATTTCTTTTCTGTCTTTTTAATAACCATTAGGTTACTTCTTCTATGATGTTCTTGATATCACCCCCAAAATCTTTTTGAACATTAATGTCGATTTATTAAATCTGTTCTTGAGATGGTCTCTAAATTCAGGTGAGATATAGTCAAGGTCTTATTTTGGCTCTCTTGAAGTTGTTTAATTACATTCAGCTTCAACATGAACTTGTACATGCACTATTGATGTTCTGTTCTATAGTTGGCCCCTGGCCTTGTTTTGGCTGATGACAGTGAACTTCTCCATTGTCCGTTCCCATAGATATAGTTGATTTAATTCTTGTATTTTTCATCTGGTAAGGTCCATGTGTTTAGTTGCCATTTATGTCGTTGAGAAAATTATTTGCAATGAATAAGATATTCATCTTGCAAAATTCTATCATGCCATCTCCAGCATTGTTTCCAACTACTAATCCTTTCTCTTTGTTCCCAATTTTTGCATATCAATCACTAGGAATTATTAATGCATTTTGATGGCATGTTTGATCGATTTCAGACTGAAGAAGTAGGTAGAATTCTTCAATTTCATCATTAGCTTCAGTGGTTGTTGCATAAATTTCAATAACAGTCTTATTAACTGGTCTTCCTTTTAGGCATATAGATATTATCCTATCACAGACAACACTGTACTTTAAAAATAGATCTTGAAATGCTCATTTTGATGATGAATGTGATGCCATTCCTCTTTAATTTGTTGTTTCTGTAACAGTAAACTTTACGATTTTCTAAGTCAACGGCCAATAGCAGTCCACTTCCGCTCACTACTAGCCAGGATATTGATTTGTATGCCTGGATTCATACTTTGTACGGTCTACATTCCCGTACATGGACAGTTACAGTTACTTTTTCTCATTTGCAGTTGAGCCCCATCAGCAAATGAAAGTCCCAAAAGTTTTGTTCCATCTACACAGCATGAAGTTCAACTCTACTTTGAGGAGGCATCTCTTCCCCAATCATGAGTACCTTCTAACGTGAGGGGCTCATTTTTAGGCACATTAGATAATATTCTACTGCTATTCTTAAGTATTTCAGTCATTAACACTTTAGAAGTGGTCCACTTATCCTTCCTTCCTAGTCTGTCTGTCTGGAAGCTCTACTGAAACCTATCTACTATGTGTGCCCCTGCACACATATATATGGTGGTGGTGTGCCATGGAGTCAGTTCCGACTCATAGTGATCCTATATAGTGTTTCCAAGGCTGTAAATCTATACCTTAGCAAAAAATCTCATCTTTCACCTGTGGAATGGCTGGTAGTTTCGTACTGCTGACCATGAGGTTAACAGACTGACTTGTAACCACTAAGCTAGCAGAGTTCCCTAGCTGTGTATGTGTATATATACAACTCATATATATAAATAAAAATGAAAACTAAGCGTAAATTCCACATTAATTATATAAAGGAGCTTTAGCTTGATATTCCACTGAGTTTCCAAATATGTAGCCGTTATTCCAAACATTTAATGGTGCTGTTATACTAGTATCAGAACTTATTAACTGTATGGGCAATACATTTCAAATTAAATTATTTCTTTATGAATTTGCATTTATAATGCCAAAATGCATCATTATTAGGTCTGTGTATTTTCTGAGAATAACTAAGTTTCTACACTACTTCGCTTCACTATGCTGTTGTTGTTAAGCACCATCGAGTCAGTTCTAAATTACAGCGACCCTTATATGGAGTTTCTGAAGAACAACTGGTGGGTTTGAACTGATAGCCTTGTTCACAGCCTAATGCTGATCCTACAGCAGCACAACAGGAATCCTTGGTTCACTATATGGATTTTCAAATATTATCAGAAGAAGGATGAGGAGATTTCAAAAAGTTCATGAAAAACTAGAATGAAAAGATAATGGAATTTTCCACAAATTTTCTGAAGTCCCCTTGTATTTTAATTGTTCTTCTCCCTAGGTTTTCCTGTTGTGAAGGCACAAAATCCATAAAAGTTTACTCCAGCAAAATTCCAGTTCTAATTAGAATATCAAAACTAGATATACATGTTTTCTTAACTTTGTAACTTAAAAAAACCAAAAAACCACTAGTTGAGATGTAACTGCCCTGTTTGTTGAACAGCCAAATTAGAAATGAAAAACAACACTTAAATATGGACAAGGTCAGCAAGATCAGCATGACAATGTCATGCAAGGTCAGCAGTTCGAAACTACCGGCTGTTCTGCGGGAGAAAGTTGAGGCTTTCTGGTCCCGTAAAGATTCGTAGCCTCAGAAACCCTGTGCAGGGTCACAATGAGTCAGTACCTACTCCACGGCACATAACAACAACAACAAGCCCTCGTGATCAGCATACTGTGTTTTAGCAGAGAGCGATACTATTGTAAAAGACAAACTGAAAAAAAAAAACAAAAAAAAAACCCCAACCAACAGATTATGATAAAGTTTTTTAAAACTACATTCACATTGACTCAAACTACCCTACTATAAAGCCGCTCCTCTGGTAGCGGAGTGGTTACGAAACAGGCTGCGAACCGAACCGGAAGGTCAGCAGTTTGAAATTACCAGCTGCTCCCCGGGAGAAAGATGAGGCTTTCTATACCCATAAAGATTTACAGCCTCGGAAACCCTGTGCAGGGTCGTAACGGGTCGGAACTGACTCGACGGCACATAACAACAACACCACCCTACAATAGGATAACAATGACAGCAGCGGTGCTGTTGAACTGGGTCCGACTCATAGTGACCCTGTATAGGGTTTCCAAGTCTGTGAATCTTAAGGGAGCAGAAAGCCTCATCTTTCTACTATGGAGCCGCTCAAGAATCTAGAATATTGCATTTTTCATTACTCATTTAAGTCTGTTTCACATCGTAATATTCGTTACATTTGTCATATTTTTTAAACACAGTAGTTTCTTACTAAAATTAGAATTTTGGAAGATTATATACCTTGAACATTTTCTTATAAGATTATGCATCAGAATATTCATTGCTTACCTATAGGAATTAAAAGTCCCATCAGGGTCTAAAGTAGAACTTGTTCTTCTTCCGTTTTTATTTGCATCACCTGGGGGAAAACATTTAAACACTGAGTAATGGAAATTCTAAAACTGAATATGTCAATTAAAAAACTAGGTGGTAGTTCTATGCACTATACAAGGGATGTAAAAAAAGTTCATGGAAACATTCCATTGTCTTTTAATTCCATTTTTTAATGAACTTTTAAAGTTCCCTCATCCTGATCAAAAAACATATGCCTCTTGTTTCTAACCCCAAATTATCTTTGTTACCAGGGTCTCGTATTTTAAAAATTCATAGTATAAACCAAAATCACCACTCATAAATGGAATAGTAATACAAGTAAAGTAAGGTAACAGGAATAAATAAAATACACTATAAACATTTTCTTCTTATGAATCATATGCAGAAATAAAATTTATAAACCATTTAAACATATACTACTCTATTCAGGGTTGCTATTATTCAGAAGCAACTCACTGGCACTTAATAACAACAACAAATATCTGTAAGCACAACACATGTTCTGAGTGAAAAAGTCATCTATTCTGAGGACTACAACAGGCAAATCAGGTTGAGACCTGAAAGGTTCTCAGGCTCCCACTTCTCCATTCTATGGGAATTTAGTAAGCAATGAAGTAAAACAGAAAGCAGACTTGGAAAGGTGGCAAATAAGAATGCATTTTAGAGAGCTTTTAATTAATATCTAAATACCTTAAATAAAATTTTATGTTTTAACTGTGGTCAAAAGTTAGTAGCTTAAGATGACAGGGTCTAAGAGATGGCAGCCAGAAGGCAGACTTGCAGAATGTGCCCTTTCATGATGTAAATTATTACATATGCCTCTGAGTGTTCAAAAAAAAAAAGCTAAAGCGAATAGAGAGAACTACTGTTAACTGATGGTATATGGAAAGGATTATAATAATTCTAATGAAACAAGGGGTATGATTTGTAAAACTGATGATCTGCCCTGTAAACTTCCACTCAATCCACAATAAAAATCTTTAAAAAAAAAAAAAAAAAGTAGCTTAAACAAATGACAAACAACAAAGACATCAAGAACTATGTGTGTCCTCTATCAAGCTTTTGGGAAAAAAACTCTTTACTCAAACAGCTGGAGTATTTGTAAAATCCAATCTATAGCAACTCACATGTCAGTTTAAAAGCTACAGAATATAAATAAATTTCTTAAGAAGCTGATAAAAAAAATTTACTGAAGCCTCAATGTAAAATAAATATAACCTTATGGATAAAAATATAATTTTAACAGCTTAAGTTTTAAAAGTGTATACTTCAAAGTCTAGTTTTTATGAAATCATAGTTTACTATTAAATACATCATTTATTCTTCAACACAAATTAAAAAGACTAGAAACTGATTACATTTTATATTACCAATTCCTGTAATGTAACTTTCAAGCATCACATTATATTCATTTTATGATGTTTAAAGCTTAATAATTTAATGATTTATCCAATTTTAATTTATACTTTTAATCCACTTTGAACAATCTAAGGTGCCACTGGAGATCATCACAGTGGTCCTGGTTAAGTCAAATAGTAATTACAGAGCTTTCACTTTAAAGATGAGATTATTTTTAATTATTGAGTATAGTACTTAAGGTACCATACTTATATAATTATGCTACTCATTAAACAGTTATTGAAAGCTGAAATGTAATTTTAATGACAGCTACCTATTTTTCTTCGCACATTTTATAGTTGACAGATTAGTCAAGAACGTTGGTTCTCTTCAAAATCTCTGCAGCTGCGCCAAAGTGTTCAGGAGAACAAGAATTGAATAGAGCCCACTCACAGAACTTTTAACTGCCTTTGCATTCAACATATTATTTTCAGGGATTTATAAGCAAAAATCATAAAACATATTACAGCACTAGAAAGTGATGATGGGTTTTATAAATGAAAATAATCCAAAAATGCTTAAAGTTTAAGATCAATCTAAATAAATATATGCTGTTAATTCTTTGAAAACACTGGCAAGATTATATATACAATGGACTTCACTTTCTTTATAATCAGAAACTATTAATGGTAACACAATACAGAGTTAAGGAAAATTAGTAAATGAAAATTTCATAGAACACATGTTGTTTAACAGCTTGCAGGCATTTTCTGTGAAACATTCTGTAATCAGCATTGAATAACCACTATATCATACACTTGAAGTTTGAGAACCTTATTTATCCTTAAAACTAAAGATTATGATACATATAATCTCAGCAGTAAAATGCTTCTTTCTTTATGCTGATACTTATCAATTCACATACAAAGTCCCCCAAATAATTAACAGACTTTCGATATTTAAAAATACCAGGTTTTATCATTATAATATATTACAAAGCTTTTCTTCAGTTTATAACTGCTTCCACATGAATATATCACATTTACTGTGTGACCTTCACGGTGGAAAGGATAGCAAAAAAGAAAATAAAGCAGTTTTTTGGGTTTTTTTCCCCTTCAGAAACATACCCACTAAGGAAGTACAATTGTTCCACAAACAATATTAGAGAAAAGATTTCAGAGTTTGCTATATGCAGAAAAGGCTATAAAGTTTTGAAGCGGGAAAAAATTACTTTGTTCCTTCAATCCCCTAGTTGAAATTAATTATAGCAAATGTTTATGAAAACATCTGTTCCTTACAGTTATAAATTCTTAGTTTTACTAGGGGTGATTCCAGCCTCTTATTTCAGAAGAAAACTGACTCTGACAATTGAAAGGTTTGTAAAAGAAGAGAGAATTTGTAATTCTGGAAAACTATATATACAGTGTGTTACATCTTGTAGAGATTTCATTTGAAAGGGCTTACAACTAGCATATCTTTCATTTCTGTTGTCATACAGCAGGAACACATATGTAACACAAGAAAATACCAACTAAAATTTAAAATAAATGTTACTTTACCATTTGATCTATCTGGTGGAAAGTAAAATAAGGTAAGTATTAATTTTCTCAGGCATTAAAATAAGTCTAAAAACAATACAATCATAGAAGCATATGTGTAGTATTACCCAAAAGTAACAAAAGAGGGTGCAAGAGCGTTTAATATGTTAGTTTGATTTGCTGTTCTGCTTCTTAGAGGAAGTTGTCAGGTAGCTGTAACTGTAACAGAGGCTTTTTCTAGACCACACATACACATAAGTGCATCACAAAAATAATCTTACACAAAGACCTTTAAATGATCAAATAATACAAACATGTAAGTGTGTTTAAGATAACAGACTCCCTTTTACTTACTGAAAAGTAATTTAACTTAGAGTAAAATTTTTTAATGGAACTTTTAAAGGTATTTCCATTTTAAAAGTAAATTAATCAAGAAAATATTCTGGACATATTTATTTAGCACATTTTGTATATACAAAATATATACACTACATAATACATATAACAATATATATGTATGCTGGTGGTTGGGGTGGTAGTGTGCCGCAGGTTCCGACTCATAGCAACCCTGTGTAGGGTTTCTGAGGCTATACATCTTTACAGAAGCAGAAAACCTCATCTTTCCCCTGAGGAACGGCTGGTAGTTTCGAAATGCTGACATTGAAGTTAGCAGCCTGACTTGTAAGTACTATGCTAATAGAGCTCCTTATGTACGTGTGTGTGTGTATATATATATATATAGAGAGAGAGAGAGAGAGTGTGTATATATATATATATATATATATATATATATATATATATATATATAGAGAGAGAGAGAGAGAGAGAGAGAGAGAGAGAGAGAGAGAGAGTCCTAATATAGCACTGTGGGCTAATACACCAGACTGCAAAGCTGTTTGAACTGTAAGGTTGGTAGTTCAAGCTCACCAGCTGCTCCTTGGAAACCCTATACAGGGTTACTATGGGTCAGAATCGACTCGACAGCACATAACAACAACATATATATGTGTGTCCTTATACAGTTATTAGAACAAGTCACTACAGTTTACAGTTATGGCCATTACAGTTTGAAATTTGCATAATGCATCTTTTCTCATTAGTTGGTAACTTTGTAAAATGGGTTCACAACATTCACAATTAAAATCAGTTGATTGATTTGAAAAAAAAAATATGCTGGTAGCATATTGCTTTAAATGAGGATACAAAGATCACATAATTTTCAATAGCAATTCCTAGCATTTATGTATATAAATTATTAAAATAATAGTATATATAATTTGACTGAGATTTCAAAACATGATAACTGGAATTTTGGACTTCCTTTTTAGTTTTAACTGCAGTGATGTTTAGCTCAAGGCATTACTGAAATCATGTTTAGTGTAGATTTACAGTAGATTTCTACAGTACTTTTGATCCAAAAACATCTGCTTTATGAAGGGAGAACCACAGATTTTAAACTAGGTGAAGTTAAAAACAGCCAGTATAAATAAGCGCACCTACTAAAACATGTTTCAGTTTACAGATAAAACCATCAAGTTTTAGAGCATCACATCACAGTAGATATGGATTCTGATAAGTAATACAAAAGAAAGAAAAGGTTTTATCTGTGAAAGTTTGGACAAATCTTACCAAGTATCTGCAACAAATATTTATTAATATGGGAGAAAACAATACTTCAAACTATGCTGAAAGCGAAGTTTGGAGAAGCCATACTGCTCATATGATAGAAAAACACTGCATAACCAAATGGTGCCAAGACCCAAAATCTTTTGTGTCTTTTAACTAAATTAACGTATATTACTACATTTCTTTTACTCAATTAAAAACTACATATGAAGTAAAATGATTTATAAAAATCTATGAATAAAAAATACTCCTAAAGGCAAAGCATGACTCAGCATCATCCATTCACATAGAAGCTATGAGGGCAATAACCAACATCAGCCTCACGAGGGTGATGACTCAGGGTGGAAATGCAGGACCCCCATTAAAGCTAAAAGACAGTCTTCTAGTACAGGCAGGCAGCTTGTGTACTTAAATAATTTTTCATGTTCTCTATTATTATTATTTTATCTAACATTCTAATAATTTAATGGCATTATTTAGTTCTCTAAATCAGAGTTTCAAGTGGAATTTTAGATAATGAAAT